TCCCCACAGCCCTGCCAGCATTTGTTATTGGTTGATTTCATGATAGCAGCCATTCTTTCTGGGGTGAGGTGGAATCTTAGCATTGTTTTCATTTGCATCTCTCAAATGACCAGTGATGTTGAACATTTTTTCATATGTTCATTTGTTATTTCTACTTCTTTGTCTGAGTAATGTCTGTTCATTTCAAATGTATTTTTAATTCAATTTCTGGTTGTTCATTGCTAGCATATAAAGAACTGATTTGTAAAAATATGTTGACTTTAAATCTGTAATCTTATGATATTCAATTATTAGTTCTAGTAGGTTTGGCAGAGACAGTACTGGGGATTGAACCTAGGGCCTTCACATGGAGTTACTATGCATTCCCAGTGCTTTTCTTATTTTTAAAATTTTGAAACAGGATCTTATTAAGCCCAAACTGGGCTTGAACTTGTAAGCCTCATGCCTCAGCCTCCCATAGTACCAGAATTACAGCTGTGGGACACCACAACCAGTAGCTTGTGGAAGTGATTTTTATGGTGCTTTCTAAATAATGATTTTGTGGTCCAATAAAAAAAGGCAGCTTTTCCTCCTTCTTTCTGATCCAGGTGCCTTCTATTTTTCTTTATTACACTGGCTAAACTTACAGTACAGATTTGAATAGAAATGCGACAGACATCTTTGCCTTATTCCTAATCTTGGGAAAGCATTCACTCTTTCATGAAAAGTATTTTTTAGGTTGGGGATTTAGCTCAGTGGTGCCACTGCCTGCCTTGCAAGCCCAAGGTCCCAAGTTCAATCCCCAGAATAAAATAAAACAATTTTTTTTTAATATTAGTTAAGGGTTATGAATTAATTCTAATTAGGCTTTCTTTAAGAAATGGAAAAATACTAACATTTAAGGTGGTTAATAAAAATGAAGGTTTGAGATCATCGTTCTTTGTTTTTGTAACTTTTGTTAATGTTTTTTGAGAGGTCTATAAAATTTATTTTGGGGTTTATTTAGTTTTCTGATTTTTCTTCACATATGTTTCTTGTCTACATGAATTATTTTTCCTGTTTATTTGGAGGCTGTAATTTTAAACTTTTTCCACATACATATATCACATTTTTATGCTTTGAAAACAGTGATTTTTTTTAAAGAGTAGACTGAGCCTGAATAGGACATTCAAGATACTTAGTATTGATAATGTTCAATCTTGCTATCAGCTTTATTAAATAAATTTTATCTTAGTTACCATAGTATCAGCACCTTTTAAAATATTTCCATTAATTTAACTTAAATAAAAACACTCTTAAAAGTCTGTCATTAGTATCTTAAATTGTGGACTCTTTTGAACTTAGGTTTTTTTAAATAATGACATGCATTCAGGTACTTTTTCTTCGTCCCGTTTTTAATTATCCTTGGAACATGAATAGTATTGTGTTGGCAAGTGTTTTTTCTTAAGAGACTCCCGCACTATCCCATTCACTGAACTCAATAGTATAGCCAGAAATCCTAATAGATTTCAGCAGGTGCATTTTGTGAGTCCAATTTTTTTGTCCAATGGTTTGGAAAATCCTGTTTCTCCTTATTAGTACTGAAATAACTAAAAAGTGAGGGGCTTATCTGATATATTTATGGAAGGATAGAAATTTTTTGTCAAAAGGTATGGGTTACATGGCATCTCAGAAAGCATAATCTCAGTCTGTCACTCACCGGATACATTAACATAACATTTTCTTTATCTAGGTCTTTCCTAACAAGCTCCATGGCAGAGTTAAATCTTTTGCCAACTCTTTATGCTTGGATAATCAAGTCTTTTGTAAAGGAAAGTCTATATTATTTTAGTTTGTCTTTTTCTTTTGATGTTACTATGGGAAAGGTTTCTCTCATTCACTGTGAAAAGATTTCTTATCCCTACTAATTGTGGAAGTTCTCTAAGTCCTGTCCCTCTACACAGTTAGATCCCTGTCTAATTCGAGTACTGAAATGACCCTTCCAAAACAATAAAATAATTGTAGTTTAAATGTTTGAATGCTTAAGATTAGACTAGAAATTTAAGGTTCATTTCCTACCTTACCTTGCGCCCGACTTTTGTTAAGCATGAAATAGTAGTATTTGTTAAACTCATTTTTCTCTCATTAAACTGCATGTAATGATAATGTATTTTATGTCATAGATATCAGATATAACCTTCAAAAATAGAGTTTGCTTAAGAGCATATTGGTTATTGAATTTTAAATAAATCTGAATATTGAACTTGTTCACTTGAGGTATTTGTTCAAGTGAATTATTGTTCACTTTATTATTGAGAAAAGGGAATTCTCACTTATTAACATCTCAGGACTTAATTAAGTTCCTTAGTGTGTGTGGCTTTGAGTTAGAGACTATTTGCTAAAGAGATATTTTACAATTGCATCTCTAAAAAGGAGCTCTCTTGTCTAAAGGTCAGAAAGAGGAAAAATAAAAACATGAAAGGAATAATATGTACTTGGACAAATGTTGAATGCATTCAGGAATTGCTATACTGTGCCAATAGATATCTGTACTATTAGCACATAACATAGGTCACTGCAACCATTCTGCCAACCGAACACACAGGTACTCTTTCATTATTTACTCATCTTTTTCTATCCAAGCTCCAAATAAAGACATAAATATGTATAAACATGGAACTTCATCATAGTCTTAGACTGGTGATTCTTCCTGCTAATTATGGGTTCATTGTTAGGGGAAGTTATTTCAGCCTACCTTTTATTTGTTAAAATCTTTGGTAAATCTTGGGAGAAGATTCTTTTGTATATAACTTTCACCCGAAACAGTGACTCTACTCTGATCATTGACCTCTTTCAGATTCTGTAAAA